AAATAGCATGCTGTGACACCTTGTCAGGCACGCACACCCCACCAATCCTGGAAGTGGGACCTCCTTTCTCTGCTCCCCCTGCTTACTCTTAATTAAGGCAAGAGCCACATGCAAAAACAAGGACTCTTTGTTTCTGCAGCGAGGAAGGAAGGAAGAAATAACGTTACTGGCATTTCTGCTGCTCTGTCAGCCAGAATATCTGATCTTAGATTTTTTTTTTAAACCCTCAGACGTTGGCTATTTCACCATTGGTTGACAAAGACTGAGTGTGGCCTTGCTTCTAAACTCTGCTGGATCATTAGGTGCCAAGCATACAAAGTTGGTAGGCAAAGATGAACAAGAGCACCTTGTTGTCCAAGTTAGCTTGTCATAGTTCAACCAAAATTATGTTTCTGGATTCCAGGATTTCAATCCTAGACTCAGGTTAGTAAGCCCCTTAAAGACAGGGTGTTGGAAGTGCGATCTGTGCTTTTGCGATTAGCTTGATGGTTAGGTTTTTGTATAATTGCCCATTTCTTTAGCAAGTAGATGTCTTGCTCAAAGGAAGTTTGATTTTTTTGAAGAATTTATTTCACTTCCCCTTGATGAATATTAACTCATCCCCTTGATGAGTTTTTAAAATTGGTGTGTAACTTTCAAGCATCGGAGATCATACTGGGAAATATATTTTTAGTACCCAGTCTTTATTAGGTAAATGGCAAGGTTTCCTGCTGTGCTTTTTTCAGGGTAGAGCCCAATGGTTTGAAAACCTCTCTAAAAATGGCAATCTCTGTTTAAAACTGTGGCTTAAGGCTTTCCTAATCAGATCTGTAATTCAAAATGAAACAAAATTTGTTTATCAAACCGTTCAAGTCAGGCAGAGCAGGTGGGGAAGTTTTTCGAGTGAACAGTGAAGAACTTCTTTCTGCTTTAGACAGATGTGACAAGACCGATTTTACTTTGGAAGCAACACTTTGCCCAATGCTTTCACAGTATTTGCTTAGCTCTCCAGCTTCCGTTTTTGCTCTCTTGGGAATTTAATGATAGTTTCATAATTTGTTATTGACACAGTAGCCAACTAGTTTTTAAAAATGGTGTGTAACTTTAGTTTTCCCATTTTCATTTATTACATCAAAATGTCTTCAGTTATTTTAATTCACTTTTTATGTCCCCACTTTCAGTCATATTCTTCCTAATTACCTCGCATTACATAATTTCACATAGGTGTAATATTAGCAAGAGACAGTTTTGAGCTGTGTCACATCAGAATATGTTTTCATGTTGTGTCACACTCTTCAAGTGATTATTTTAATACCAAATAATGTCCTGTCAGTTGCACTTCTTTTCAACACTCCCCGCCCCCCTAATTTTGGAATTCATCCATGCTCATCATAGGAATTTTAAAGAATAGAGAATAGTTGAAAGAAGAAAACGTAATCCTTCGTCATTCCACTGCACTAAGACAGCCTCTGTTAGCATCTTGGGACATCTCCTTGTATGTTTTCTAAACTGTTTTTTAGTTTGTGGAGATCCTACTACAGCCTACATTTTACATTTAACATATCTTACATGTTTATCATGTCACTGAAAGTTTTTATTCATTGTTTTAAGTAGCACAGTAACTACCCATTATTTACCCAATCATTTCTCTATCATTGCTCATTTATTTCCTTTTCCCTACTGTTAGAAATAAGACGGAGATAAACATCTTGGGCCATAATCCCCTATCTGCCTTTATCTTAGACTGAATTCTGAGAAGTAGAATTACTGAGCCAAGAGTAACCTCTTGATACTAAATTGCTTTCCAAATGGTTATGTCACCTTGTATCCCCACCACAGTGCACCTTTACCAAGTTTTAGCATTTAAGAAAACACACAAAACACCACCTTTAAATTTGCTTGGCAGAATAAGTGGGGGCCTAGAGGGTGGAGGCAGGATTTGGTTTGAACACTGTAAATGTTTATTCACTACGTGTATTTCTTCTCTGGAAAACTAATAGTTTTAAGCTTTTATTTCATTTTTGCTCCAAGATAGGATACCAGGAAAGGAAACAAGGTCAAACAAAAGTGAAGCTAGAAAACAGATGAAAGAGTGGTAACAGACAGCCAGAAAAAAGCCAAAATCCTAAGCCAACCGTGGGAGAAACTGAGAAATAACTTCACTATTTATGCTGCAGAATCCTCAGACTCACGAATTGGCAGTTCCCATGTCTCTGGAATGGCGTGAAGGGGAGGTGGGGCTAAAATCAATTCTATCGGGCGAAAAAGCTAAGGAACGGATCCCTATCTGTCCTCCCCACTCCCCTTGGGTTTTCCTCTCCCGGGTAGGGTCTGGAAGTGTGTTCACTGGAGGGTCCTGGAGTTAGGGTTGCCAGGCCCAGTGGAGGGTGTGGATACTAGGCTGTGAGGGGCTTCAGGCCGATGATGGAGAAACACAGTGAAGGGTGGAGGTCAGAAAGAGCAAGAGCCCTGTAGGTGAGCGCATAGGCCAGAAGACAGGTGTATGCGGTCAGGTAAAGGGGGTTAGAGACTTGGGGATCGAACAGTTACAGTCCCTGATATGTAGCTGAGAGGATGGCTCAGGTGGGGAGAAGGTCATTGGAGATTAGGAGGTCCAGAAATTGAGTCGCCAGCGTGTTGGGTGGGCCATCCTCATGGCTCTTCACATCACCCGGACAACCACAGGGACTGTGAAGAGAAGGACTGAGGCAGGTACCTGAGTAAGGAGCCATCCAGAGGACAGTAAGAGCAGGTGCCCTGAGGGCTTACATTTCCAGTAGTTCTTGGCACAGTGGCTCTTGTCCCTGTAGCCTCTAGGAGGACAGTGGACATCTGGGCCAATGGTTCAGTCACAGCTGCACAGGGATTTGTGACGTGGGCAGGGGTAGCATCTCCCCTTAGGCCCCAGGGGCTGGCAGTGTGGCCGGCGCTTGTCAGCAAGGAAGAGCCTCGTGTTTCGGCGTGTGAGGGACCGGGAGGGACCAGGACAAGCCCTGTGTGTCTTAACTCAGTAGTCTCAGGTTGGGCGGCCAGCTCAGAATGATGCATCGACTCATGACTTTCCAAGCATGGAAAATCGAAACATCCAGTTGTGTAACGTTTTTGTTGACTTTTAAACGCACTTTCAGATAGTGAAGAGCCTCACTGCTCAGCACTGTAGGACTCGGAAGTCCCTTTCAGGGTCTCTTTAGCTAGGTGGCTAAGAAGTGGTTCGAGATGATCCACACTGCCTGTGCCAAGTGCTCAGGTCAGGCCTGTGCTGCCTGCACTAGAGCTGAGGCCCTCGCAGCAGAATTTGGGTGACGGGACCCTTTGGGGGTCAAAGGTGATGGGAAATCCCAGAGCAGTGAGCAGAATGTTAGTGAGGCTTTCACAAAGCAGGTCCCAAGCAATGCTCTGGTTTTTCTCTCCCTTTTCTGTCATTGAAGGAGAGATGTATATGGAAGGCTCATTCCACAGGCAAACGTGGAAATAGTGCCTAATTTTGTAGTTCGTGTTAGTTTCCTGTCGTCACAGCCATGGGTTCTCTTTTTTAAACGGACACACATGCAGCTGAGGGTTGGTGTGGGCGCTGCCGCTGGTTTTCACTCCTGGGTTGGCCTTTCTCGTTCCAGCTCTATTACCAGGTTTTAAACTTCGCCATGATCGTGTCTTCTGCGCTCATGATCTGGAAGGGCTTGATCGTCCTCACGGGAAGCGAGAGCCCCATCGTGGTGGTGCTGAGGTAGGTCCCCTGGGCGGTCACACTGCATCACACCATTGCCCTGCCCGGGAGCAGGGTCGCCTTGTGGGTAGCCTGCGTGACAACCCAGACTCAGTACTGTGATTGGACAAAAGTCGTCTTTCTTTTTAATCCAAAGGATGTTTTTTCCATTGCTTTTCAGAGTGGAAGGGTGGGAGAGGGGAGAGAGACACATTGGTTGGTTGCCTCCCACATGTGCCCACATGCACCTGACTGGGGATGGGGATGGAGCCTGTAACCGAGGTATGTGCCCTTGGCCGGAATCGAACCTGGGACCCTCAGTCCACGGGCAGACGCTTTAACCACTGAACCAAACCGGCTAGCGCAAAAGTCTTTATTGATACCTGTTTGAGAATATTTTATTTTTTCTGGCTTTAACTGGAAATCTTATTTTTTCTGACAAGACATGTTAGAGCTTTTATATGTTGATGATAATGCTCCAGGGCAAACAATTTGCATTTGTATTTTAATGTTTAAATCCACATAAAAGGACAATGTACTAAATAGTATTAATGCATTATTTGTGTACAAATTGATTTTTAAACAGAGGTGACTTAAAACTGTTACTTGATGGTAGCAAACAGACAGGGGGTAGACATCCTCAGGGCCTAGCAGAGTGTCTAGTATGTTTTTAAGCTTCTTTTGCTTGCTGTTGTAGGTGGCTGCTCTCTTCTCAAACTATTATTCTGATAAAGCTTGTGTATTTTAGAAGGTTTGATACTTTAGTTAATGCCATGTAGTCACAAAGCCATCCAATGGGAAAAAGTTAACGATCAGTTTGCAACTGAATAACAATGTTTGGAGCCCTTAGGTGTTTCACTATGCTCTCTGTGCAGTGTCTCAGATCATCGAGTCTTACTTACAGTGGGCGGGAATGGAGCCCCAGTTTTACAGGTGGCGCAGTGGGCTCTAGCAGTGACTTGGGCAGGGTCACAGCTGGCCATTGCAGCAGCCAGGGCCAGCACATAGGGTTCTGGGCTCCCAAGCCTGTGCCCTTTCCTTCACTGGGCCCCACTGCCACTTCATGGGGCTTTTGCCATCGCCCCAGTTTCACCAGTGGTCCTTGTGTGGCTGGCTGAGGGGCCCTTCTAGAGATACAGTGTTTTCATAAGTGTAGGGGCCTTAGGAAAGCATAGGGGCCACCAATTCACTGGCCTTCACACTGTGCTCCAGGAGTGCCCTGGGGTCCGGGTTGTAGCTCAGGAGGAAACAGGGGCCCAACCTCATGGATTCCAGACCCCTTAGCCTTGTTCAGTTATGACAGCTCCACTTTATGTATCATATATTAGGCTTCCTGGTAAGATTTCATCGGAAGGATGGATTTTATGGCTTTTTTTAAAAAGAAGAAATTTAAAACCTCAAATATATTTTTATTTTTTTTAATTGTTGGGGACATTGGTTAATAAAATTATATAGATTCCAAGGGTACAATTCTATAATACATCATCATATTGTATTGTGTGTTCACCACCCCAAGTCAAGTCTCCTTCCATCACCATTTATCCCCCATTTACCCTCCCCACCCCTCTTTCCCTCTGGTAATCACCATGCCGTTGTCTGCCTAGGAGGGTTTTTTCCTCCCTAAAGCTTAATCTCATCACCTTTTTCACCCAGCCCCTCCACCCCCCCCTTCTGACAGCTGTCAGTCTGTTCTCTGTATCTACCAGTCTATTTCTGTTTTGCTTGTTAGTTTATTTTGTCCACTTGATTCCACATGTAAGTGAAATCGTATGGTATTTGTCTTTCTCTGACTAAAAACCTCAAATTCAGATGGACCCCTTCAGCTGAGGCCCAATGAGGCCAAGGTCACTTGATCTCACAGTCACTTGGGGCAGAGCCAAGACTAGATTTGAGATGTCCTGGCTCCTCTTAAATCACACACACACACACACACACACACACACACACACACGCACACACACAAGCACACACACAGAAATTGTGAAATTGTGCGGTATAGGGACTTTTTTTACCATTCTAAGGTCATTTCGTTTGTCAACATGAACTATCAACTTCACGAACGAGAGATGTGTGACCTTGGGGAACACTGACCTTAGGGGAATGCCTGACCCATGAAGAAAGAAGTGTGAGTTGATTTTAGTGAGACGCTTCAAAGGACTGCTTTCCTTGTGGGACACGACAGTGGCTCCTGACGCCAGGCTCCAGCTCTCTCGCCTGCCGCCAAGACCTGTGCAGGAGCCCTGTTTCTAGCTATAGTTCTTAGTTGGTACGCAGCCCGAGGTGGCTTTCTAAAGACATCTTCCCACTGTGTGTCTTCAGCAGTTTTGTTGAAAGAGGGAAGGTGAAGCAGTAGATGAAGAAATTATCGTAAACATTTTAGTCATTTTTCTTTAAAAGAAGACAAAACCCTGAAGTAATTATGTTTTATTTTCAGAAGAAGACAAAATAAACATCCATGTTGGGAGACAGAAAACCCAAATTTGTTCTTACTTAGATGGTTTCTTTTTCTTACCCTCTTAGTCATTTATATTTCCAGCCCTTTTTTTTCAGATTTCCTAGTTTTGATTTGCTAGATCAATAACCATACTTAGTGTTACCGGTTTCACTTAAAAATAAACACATCAGCAGGTGCTTAGTGACAGGGCAGCCTCCACTGTGCTTCTCCTTGCTGGGTTCCCCGTGTGCTGACAAGTTTAAGATGTGCCCGGCTGGAAGGGATGGGGGCCAACTTCTGATCTGCTTCCATTGTGAACCCACGTTTCCCTTTAAAGCTCCCTGTTTCTTCACTATTGTAGCTCGTTCTCCCCCTTCCAGCCCTCAGTGAACTCCCTTAGCATTGCTTGCCCGACCCCTATATTGCCAAATGTCTAGGTCTTACTTTCTTATGCATTAAACAAAGCACGAGCATATGTAAAGTGAATTCTGTTTTGATCATTTCAGCTTCCACTAGATTACAATTGACTTTGAATCCAGCAAAGATTTTTGGCACAGGTTTACATGGATACATGTAGGATTATTTATTGGCCTCCACATCAAAAACGTTGGTTAAAATTGAGCTTTCTGTAGGATAGGGTCGAAAGGATGACGCTGCAGGAATCAGGAGACTCGGGTTTGAATTTGTCCCTACCCGCAGCTTGGCTGGCGGGTAGCTCATCCTCCTAAGTGCTTTCATTTGCTGGTTTCTCATTCCTTGAACAAGTACGTATGTCCTGTCCTGGGTGCTAGGGTTACACCATAAAATGGAAGAATAGTCCATGAGTATTAACCAGCCCTCAGCCTGTGGTTCTGAATGAAACTATAATGTGTTTGTAGACGTGGACTTTTCTTTTTTTTATATCTTTATTGATTTCAGAGAGAGGAAGAGAGAGAGACAGAAACATCAATGATGAGAGAGTCATTGATCGAGCCCACAACCCAGGCATGTGCCCTGACCGGGACTCGAACCCTGATCGCCTGGATCCTAGGTCGACACTCAACCTCTGAGCCATGCCTGGCCGGGCAACGTGGACTTTTCTAAGTGTAAACATTGGCCCTTCTCAGACTTAAATCTAAGAAGAACTCCTCTGCTTTCTCACTTAACGCTATCCCTTGCACAGTCAGGAGGAAACGCTGGCTTATTTATTAGCTCATAGACCTACTGGACGGTTGATGAAAGTTGAAACTCTCACTCACATGTTCATTATTATGCTTATTGTGAATTGAAACGTTCGCCTTGTGACGCAGAGTAATTTGGATGTGATTTTGTGTTTCTTTCTAGTGGCAGCATGGAGCCAGCCTTTCACAGGGGCGACCTTCTGTTCCTGACAAATTTCCGGGAAGACCCTATTAGAGCTGGTGAAATCGTTGTCTTTAAGGTCGAAGGACGAGACATTCCAATAGTTCACAGAGTAATCAAAGTTCATGAAAAGTAAAGAGGCTTTACTTCTTTTGGGTGTTGTTTTGTAAATTTTTGGTAGAATTTTAATGGTTGACTAGAAAGTGCAAAAGCACTGAATTATGTTCCTAGTTCTGCCATTTATTAGTTGGGTGACTTAGAACCTGCTACTTAACTTGGTCTGTAAGGTGGGAATGATATACTTTACCCACACTAACTCACAGGGGATTATGAGAACTGAAGAACTGATGATTATTAAAGAACTTGAACATAGTCAGATGGAGTGTATTATGGCACAATATTAGTTATTTGAAGGAGTCCCAAAGAAAATCAAATCGTGTTGTAACTGAGGATTATTTTGATGTGAGAATTATTTTCTGAAATGCAGAAAGCTGCCAGTTTGTTTATATCACTTTGGACCAAGTGGAATTCTCAACAGTAATATTAGCCCTGGATGGATACAAATTCCTTTCCCAAACTCATCCCATGATTTGGTAGTTGCATATCCTGCATTAATTCCCCCACCCCCACCTCCACAAATGGGCTTTCCTTTCCTTTAAAGCCAGTGATGACTTACTAAGAACCGGAAACAATGACTTCTAGCTCAAATACGTTATGTTCCCATGAGACACTAAGTCACGTGATTAGTGAAAATGTTACATTTTATGTACTTGGTTATTTATTTACCCTTATGTAGGCTTACTGTAGAATTTTACGTGCATGAGTTATGGAATTAAATTTAGGCTTGTGTGTTTGTGTTTTTAATGGTGCATTGCTCATCCTGGGTGTGTGTGCGTGCGCCATAACTATTTGTACATTCCTGGTATTTAGGGTCCCATTCCATTCACTGCTTCCAGGTTCCCCAAAGATATTGACACTTAAAAATATTCATTTCATTTTACTCTCAGCATTAGAAGGACCCTGTTTCAGTTTGTGTTAATACACTAATGTTACTTGATGTCTACTTATTAACTTACTGATGAGGAAATAGCTCAGTCATAATGTGACAGTACTCTCACCTGATTTAAAGTAATTTCCAAGGATGAGAAACTGTTCAGAGTGGAGGAAATAGCGATGACTTGCTGTAATTTGCATGAATTGTGGGAGATTTTTATCCTTTTGATTTCCTTTATAACCGTGGCTGCAAATCAGCTTGCTCCTTTTGGCGTGGCTTCAAATCTTTGTGGGCTTTTAAGCTTTTATCAGATTATAATAGTGCAATTTTTCATTTGTCTATTGAAAGAAGACGCTCTTTGTGGCTCTACAATGCTGTCATGTTGTATTTCTAGGGTCAAGGCTATGTAAGCACCAGTTTAGAATGTTTAAAGTGAATCCCACGTTTGTCTTTAACATGCTGGTTTTATGCCATTTATTGTTCCTGTTTCTTTGCAAACTGGAGTTTACACCACTTTGCTCAGTGGTGAAGGAAGTAATGCATTACCGCCTTCCGCATTTGGCAAGGAAAAGTAAGTTTGAGGAGAGGTAAAGGGACACTTGCATATTTGACTTACCTTGTGCTCAGATCTGCGTGATCTGGGATCAAGTTCACATCTGAAGTGAAGAGGAACATAATCCATGTTAACAAGTTGGCACATGAGGACTAACAGTAAAAACAGCTGCTGGAAGCTAATCATTGCCTTACCGGTGCCCTTGTGCTTGGCTGTGTTTTTTGGTTGCCAGGGTAACTTGAGTGTTTTATAATTAAGTCTATAATATTGTCATTAGATTTGTGCTTTTGTTGCATGGTTATCTGTACGCCATCATCTTAGACCAAGAAAGATGAGGTTATCTTAGACTGCTTTTCTGAGTGCCTGTATCTGGCTATAAAGTGTTGGATAAACTAATTTTCGCTAATGCTGCTGTGCTAAAAATAATTTTTGAAAGGACATTATTTTGCTTTCCAGAGATAATGGAGACATCAAATTTCTGACTAAAGGAGATAATAATGAAGTTGACGACAGAGGCTTGTACAAAGAAGGCCAGAACTGGCTGGAAAAGAAGGACGTGGTGGGAAGAGCCCGAGGGTGAGCACTGACTCTAAGTTCCATAGAAGGTTCAGAAACCAGAGAGTACTCAGAAGCAGATGACTGTCTGAGGTGACAGGGCCACTCATTGTCAGTGAGCGTGTCAGGACAGCTGTGAGGGTTCTGGTGTGCATCGTGATGACGAACTAAGACGTGGAACTGAGCAGGACCTAACATCTAAGGCTGAGCGCAAGTATATTCATGTTGTGGGTTCGATTCTGTTTTTGAAATAAAGCCTCACCTAGGGAGTAGTTATTTGTGGGTCTTAAATAACGGTTATCAGAGATCCTCTCAGAGATAGCTACTGATAGCTACTCTGGTGAACGTCCTAGATACTTCCTGTCCCTATGCAGATGTGTATGCATATGTAACATATACTTTTACATAGATAATTAAAATTTTTTTTTTTTTACCCAACAGAAAGTTGGAAATAGCTTTCAGTGTCAAATCTACATCTATATCTTTTTACAGGGCTACATGTGGTTTCCCTGAGAATTGTGACTTATTTAACTAATCCTCTTTTGGTGGATATTTAGATGATTTCCTGTTTTTTTTCACTGTTAAAAACAGTTCTGTGATAAATCTTTTAATAGTCATCTTTGCATAATTATTCCAGCGATAAGTTCTGCTTCTGATTGACAGCAGACAGTGTATCCTCTTAGAAAACCAAAAAAAGGGCAACTCCTCCTCTCTCTTGGTGACCCTTTCATGTTTAACCCTCGTTAGAAATGCCTTTTAAAAAATCTTATCTAAACCCCACCAGCAATGTGAGGCTGGAGAACATTGGTTACCTTTTCTAAGATTCAGCTTTATTCATCAAATTGTAGTTTCAGGCCTCTGTCTGCCCCTTTTCTCTCTCTGCTCACCCTTTGACCATTTTTTCTCTATTGCATTTCCATGGGACTATCTGGGGAGATGAGAGACTTCCAGTTGGTCAGTCCTGTGTTTTTAGAAACTCTGGTAGAGGCTTTGTGTAAGTGGGAGCTCGAAGCCACTGATTGAAAGGAGACTGATGGGAACTAACGGTGTGTTACCTGGTTTCGCATTAGTGACATTAACTTTGCCAGCATAACCATCAGCCAGCCTATGCCCTGAACCCCCTCTCTCTGGGACCATAATCACGTTTGGGTGTGAGTTGTGAGATCCCCATTGATTTGTAATCACTGCACAATACACTTGTTTGTTACATCTGAAAAGCTCTGTGGAGTGAAAATGATGATGATTCTTTTTTTTAAAAAATATATATTTTTTTAATTTCAGGGAGAGGAAAGGAGAGGGAGAGAGACAGATAGAAACATCGATGATGAGAGAGTCATTGATTGGCTGCTTCCTGCATGCTCCCCACTGAGGATCGAGCCCGCAACCCGGGCATGTGCCCTGACCAGGAATCGAACCTCGATGGCCTGGATCCTAGGTGGACACTCAACCGCTGAGCCACACCTGGCTGGGCATGATGATGATTCTTGATGAAACTAATTATCCATGTATTTTAAACGCTTTCTCTAACAGCAGTTCTTAGGGGATCTGCATCTTACTTCAGTACTAAAAAATGAAAAACTAGGTTGATCAAAGTTGCCCATTCCCTTTGTACACGTGGCTCCGCTGCTTATTTTAATTCTGTTATGGTGGAGACGAGTAGCATCTCTAGCTGAGATCATGTGCCTGCTTAAAAATTGTCCTGCCTCTTACCTCTGGTGCTTTTTATTAAGAGAGCCTTTGAGACAGGAGTGACCGTTGCTCTGACAGCCCCAGTTAGTGCCATTCCCAGCAAGAATGTTTCCTACAGCTGATTTATAGTGTTTTCAAAGGTTGCTTTCATATTACAAACAATTATGATATTTCTGGCTTTTTATCTCACAATTTAGGTTTTTACCATATGTTGGTATGGTCACGATAATAATGAATGACTACCCAAAATTCAAGGTAGGAATTTATATGTGTGTCTGTATTTTAAAAATATATTGGAGCTTTTTACTTGTGCAGCTATAAAAACGCAGTTTGTTTAAAATGTGTTACTAGTTCTTTGTTCTGCAGAGTATTTGTTGTTAACCACAAATTAACACAATCATTTCAATTATATATTTAAAATAGCTACTTTCATCTTTTATGTTCACAGTGTGTTCAAAAATGGCACCTATATGTTTGTTGCTTTTTACTAGGGGAATATTTAGAGAAACAAAATAGTACAATAAACTCCGTGATACTAATTTCCCAACGTCAGTGAAAATGTTCTGTCTGTTTTTTAAAAGCCACTTGAAAAACAATAGGAAACCTACGCAGGGATGAGCAGTGCACTAGCTGTGTTGTTGGGGTTTGAGCCTTAGTCCTTCAGTAGGTTGTTGGGTTTTTAATCACAATGCGCCATCGAGCAGCTAACGTGCTCAAGGGGGAAGAGGTCACCTTTGGTTCCGTCCTCAGTCCAGAATTGAACAGACTTCATGTGAACATCCGCAACCCAAGTTTATGTGGAGCCCTCGCAGTAATTTTCCATTCTGTTTTCTTTACAGTATGCTCTTTTGGCTGTGATGGGCGCATATGTGTTACTAAAACGTGAATCCTAAAGTGAGAAGCGGTTCCTGGGACCAGATTGAAATGAATTCTGTTGAAAAAGAGAAAAACTAATATATTTGAAATGTTTCACTTTCTGTATACAAGGGGAACAGTATGGAGACGTTTGTGTCTTGTCCAAATAAACGATTCACCAGTGAAGGTTGTTTTCTGTTGTGGGCTCTGATTTGAATCTGCTCAGTCTACCTGCCCCTGTGGTGCCCGTTCTGCTCCGAGGGTGAGGGGCTGCACCACTCCAGGCGTCAGGCGTCATGCACGTGATAAAGCTATAATGTCTGAGTTCTGAAAATGAAATTCTTGGCATAGCATAGTAGCATTTCAGGGGGAAACATACAGGCCCTTGAAAAGAGATGGCTTTTTATCTATTAAAGTAGAATCTGTTAATTCGTAAAGCCTAAAGCTGTTTTTGGAAGGAAAGGTGTACTCTGCTTTGTTTTTGTGGTCTGATCCATCTTGAGGTGTTTGGATAAATTATTTGAAAGTGTTAAATGAGTTATAAAAACAGCACATACTCCTTTGAAAGATGGCATAAAGCGCAGAAGGGTAAAAGGGGCCTATCCATTTCCTCAGGTTCTGTGCATCTCCACATTTAATTTATTTGCTTCGTATATAGTTCTTCACTAAAGTATTTATCGGGCACCTCTATCCCAGCCACTGACTTCCGTGCTGGGGATACAAAGCCCCAGCCTGGGTGGAGTTTGCAGCCAAGTGGGAGGAACAGATAATAAACTGACATGTGATTTCAGGAGTGACAGGTGCTATGGGGAAAGATCAAATGGGATCAACAGATAGAGGGCAAAAGATGCCATTGCTTTTCACAGGGAGGTCAGGGAGGTCCTCTGCGGGAGGGACATTAAGCAGAGTTAAGAGAGATGAGGGAATGAGGCACATAAATGTTGGGAAGAGCCTTGCAGCAAATGTGAGGCCCCCACAGGGAATGTGCTCCAGCTTCAGCGAGCCCAGAGCCCCAGCTGCTGACTGCCGGCTGCCGTTAGCTGCAGGTGCCTGCCCGAGGCGGGGAGGCCCGAGGGCCTGCCTGGCCAGCACCTGCCGGGAATGCCTGAGCTGCGGGGCCTGGTCCCCACTGTGCCTAGCAGGGCGTTAGAGGGCTACAAAGGAGGCCAGCGATGTTTCCACATACAGTGGTGCCTCAGTTTTTGAACGTCTCCCTTGACGCACATTTCGGGTTACAACGCCGTAAACCTGGAAGTCAGTGCTTTGGTTTTCGAGCACGCCTCGGGAGTCGAACATGCCCCACGGCTTCTGCTGAGGGCAAGATCCCAAGGCCGTGGACCCCTCGGGTTCCGAACGTTTCAGACCCGAACGGTCTTCTGGAACAGATTCCATTCGAAAACTGAGGGACCATTGTACCCTTTTCAGTTTTACAAACATGGGCTCTTTTCACTGCACAGGATGCTGGTGGCGTCCTTTCTGTCAGAACTTACCAATCTGCCTCACTCTTTGAGGTCTGTCCCACTCCGATCTGAGTTTCGAACCCCTAAAGGTCACTGACCCACCTATGGGCCTGGAGCAAGTTACATAACTTCCCTCAGCCTCAAGTGGAGGGTAGAAGACACTTCCCTCCCCGATTGTCCTAAGTAGTGAGCAAGTAAATCACTGAATGCTCTTAGCACAGTGCTGGACATGATGCAGCACATGCTCCATCAAATGTCACCCATGTTGTGTGTTCTGGTTTCCAGTGGAAACCTGCACCCCTTGAGCACCTGTGCAGTGATTTCTGGGGGAGCCCCTGATTTGGTTAAGGACCAGCAGGAATGATCTGTGGGGGGCGGCTTGCCAGGTGGTCCTTTATCTCTACTGAAATAGGCTATTGCGACCATAATGCCCCCATCGTGTTGAGGTCAGCCAAGTGAGAGAAAAAAATCGACAGGATACTTTCTGAAAACATTACTTTCCTGTGCCCTTTAATAAACTCTTAATAAAAATAGATTTTTCTTCCCTTAACTAAACATGGAATTTTAAAATGTTGGGTCAAAACTTCATTTTTTTATCATCTTCCTGGGGTTCTGTTGTTGGTTAAGATAAATTTCTGAGAAGGTTTAACGCGGTGAAGCTTTCTGGTAAGTCTTTGAACATGCCTAACATTGTGAAATAAACTTGACAAAGGCACCAAAGAGCCCGATGTGGCTCCGCTGGTGCCATTTAATTGTGGCGGCTTAGAAAGCACCGGCTCTTTTGGCCTCTTAGATCCTACTGGTCCTTATTAAGTGAAAGCGATGGGAGTTAATGCTGGATTGAAGTTCTTTTAGCTGGGGGCTCAGTGGCAGCCTCAGTGCCTGGACCATACCAACAAAAACCAGGTTTGTACCCGCTCGGACAGGATCAGCACTCCACATCCAAGTCACTGCCGTTCGTTCATCAGGGAGAACCTCTCGCTGGGAGCTCGCGTGTGCTCCTGGGACACACCTTTCTCACATGGCCGGGCAACTGCTTTTCTACTTCGCAGCAGCCTGGAAGTGTCTGAGTAGACGGTGTTTGGTGGACACTGGCTGAACCAGCGATGCCAGCAAGAAGGGACAAGACAGTGTAAGATCAGGTGCAAGGATTTCAGACGCCACCTGGTGTAGGGACAGACAGCCGACATTTCAGCTCACACAGGCCTCCCAGTGTCATGAGAGGACACTTACGAAGTTCAGTGGTGTTTGCTGTACTGTGTTAAAGATCAGTTTAGGTTTCCATCAAAAACTGGAAAGTTTCTACTATTGGAATAAGCTTCAGTTTCTTACAAAGGTTAGTGGTGGAGCCTCTGATTTCCTGCCCTGTTCCCCTTTGACAATGAATGTGTAGGTCTTATGCAAACACTAGACAAACAGCTTCAGGCATGTGTGTGAGGACACTTGCACACACACACACACACATGCACACTGCAACTGCCAGATCGTGGGCTCCAACTGCTCCTCTATAGAAAGTTTGGACCTGCCACTGTCCCCAGCAAGGCGGGCAGCCAAAGCGTTGTTGTGAAGGGAAGGAGGTACGAGAACCTGTCGATCGGGCAACGAGCCAGGACATCTGCACTTTGTAAAAACTCCCTTGGGGACTCATATGCAGCTGGGGTTGGAACCCACTGAGAAACATCTGCACAGTTGGGAGCAAACGTGATTAGGGTGCTTGATGGTTTGTGTATTCCTTCTCATTTCCTGATACCGCTTGCAGATTGTATGATAGGAAAGAATCAGAAACGGACTGTTTCTATGTGCTACCCTTGGCCCCCATTTCCCACACCAGACTGATGCTGACACCTTGTTAATAAGGGTCGTCTGGTTTCTACTTGAGCACCTACCTCGCCATATGAAGTCGCCTTCAGCCCGGCTCAGGGACGCTCCGCTTAGTCTCATCCTGAAATTCCGGGCAGAGATCCATCCACCCCCACTCCTTTGGTTCAGCAGGTTCCCTCGGTTTCCAACGAGAGGCCTGGGATGGGGGGTGATGCAGTGGAAACAGGAATTTGGAGTCACGCTGAGGCTTAAGCCCTGCTCCACCTACCAGACAGGCAGTGTGTCACTAACTCAACTCAGTTTCCTTATCTCCAGAGTTAGTGTCAAGTCAGGTAGAGAATTTACTAGACGCTCAGTTTGAATCAATAGGGCTTTACCCTTTCTTCCTCAGGATCACTTGAGTGTGAATACTTCGAGTTTATTTATTTATTTTCCAAACCTCCCAATCCTCTTGATAGTCTCTATAATCTTCGGCCATGAAATTACACTGATGTTTTCTCTGAGTTTTTAATCTGCTTCCCTACATTGTCATAGGCAGATCTATGACAGGGGCATGTTCCCCTAGAGAATCTGCTTTTAGACACATGAAGCTTTGGGATGATGTCAGAGCTGAAGCCGCCTTTACACTTGACCTTGCGTCTGCATGGATTCTGCGCTTGTATGGGCCTGGGACGTGTCCTCTACATGCTGTCTGTGGTGAAGCCTTCTGTCGCACAGTTTTCTCTGGGCTTCCTGTCTCTTTCAGTCATCACCCCAACACTATCTACCACGTACCTCTTGTCAGGTTCACGGTTTCCCCAGAGGTGGTTAGCTTTTGCCATAAAGCAGGAATTTTTAAAAATAGACTTTATTGCCTGGCCAGTGTTGCTCAGTGGTTGAGCATCGACTCATGAACCAGGAGGTCACGGTTTGATTCCCAGTCAGGGCACATGCCATGGTTGTGGGCTTGGTCCCCAGCAGGGCGTGTGCAGGAGGCAGCCGATCAATGACTCTGATCATTGATGTTTCTGCCTCTCTCTCCTTCTCCCTTCCTCTCTCTGAAATCAATAAAAACATATTTTTTTAAAAGTAAACTTTATTTTTTAGAGCAGTTTCGGGTTCACAGCAAAATCAAGTATAAAGAACCAGAAGTTCCCCCATACTCCCAGTCCCCACAGACATATCTATCACCATTGATGTCCCCCACTATCAACGTCCTGCAGAACAGTAGTACACTTGTTAAAATTTATGAACCTTATTGGCATGTCATGATCACCCGAAGTCCATGGTTTGCATCAGGGCTCACGCTTGGTGGTGTACATTCTACGGGTTTTGACAAATGAAT